TAAATATATCTACGTAAGTATTGTGCCATTATCACTTGTGAGTACTGAGTAGGTACATAATAAAAAGGTACTTACGTTAATAACAAGGAAAAATTGATTGAACTATATTTTATTTATGTTGGTATGTAGGCATGCCTTAAAGCTCCCTCAGTAATTTTTTTGTAAATTAATAATTTATATGTAGTGAATATGACATTTTTATTTCTTTAATTCTTAGGTTTCAAACACTTAATACACAATGACATGTACAGACGTGTTATGTGAACTAAAGCTGTTATCGTCGTTAATGACCTTTTTATTTAAATTATAAAAATAAAACGCATTGAAAAAAGTAATCAATGCACCGTAAACGAAAACTGGAAAATATATAACAAAATCGATAGAACACTCAAAACGAGATGATACGCCTTATCTGTGGTGCACCGGAACGTTTTTTTTTTTTTTTTTAGAAAAAAAATACTTACAATCTGTATAAAATAAGCTTATTAGCTATTACTATGTGACTCGAGATAAGTTAAGTAAATTATATCCATTGACCTATTGTCACTACTTCAGAAAGGAGCTAAAACTATAATAGTATTCAAACAAGAAAAGAAGACGGATCTGCCTATATATTACTAAGGATAGTTAATAACATACTTTTATACTACCTGTATTTTTTGAGCCATACATCATTTTCAAATCAGCGCCAATTATCGTTTGCGCATCGTCCGTTTTACCTCTACCAAATTATCACACATCAATTGCGCATCAACATGCTGAACAATTGTATAAAAAATAATTTTCGATTGAAAATATAATGATTTTCATAAATCATAATATATGTAATAAATAGATACAAATAATTAAAAACAAATTGAATTGTAGTTATGATCGTACAAATAATGCACATATTGGAATGAACACTTTTGTTGGCACATTACAGTCGTTAATTATAAAATACAAAATATACATTAGTTCGAGTAAAAATGAATTGAAAATAATAAAATTTCGGACACATAGGTAAATATATGATCTCGCAAGTTTTCAGTGTTTTTCTTTCCGTATAAAAATACTTTTGGAAAATTATTCCAGCTTTTTCACGATTTGAATTGACTCATTTCAAATGAGCATATACTTACATTTACTCAAAACTCAAAAGTTAAAATTACAGTATGATTATATAATGTTCACATATGGTATGTCATGTAAGTCGGTACGTCTCGACGGTGTCTCGCGCGTTTTATTATCCAATAATCTAACTATCTCGTTTGATATACTTATGCGATAAAAATCGATTAGTCAACCGTACATCTTAGTTGTGTTATTGCTAACTGATTACGCCCATACAATATTATTACAATATTACCTATTATAGGTATATTTTAAAACAGAAATATCTGTACAATATTTGAAAATTGGATGTTACGAGAGTAAATTTAGAGATGTACGAATTTTGTGCACTTTTGGATGTACACCTTTCTTTAAATTCTATTGTTAAATAATATTGATGTAGAAATCATGTAAGACCTTTTAAACGGCTGATGCGCAAATGACGTAGGTATAATCCAAAACTCAAACGATGCGCAATTGTTTTACAAAAAAGACCAAAATTAAAAATAACAATGCTCAAACGATAACCGGCGATTTTTTTGTTATTATAAATTATTTCTAAATTCGGTAGGTCGAATAAATTGTTACCAAAACGTTTGCATCAACTGATTAGTAACCAATACGTGCCGCAAAATAAGTAGGTACCTACTATGAATAAGTAACATAACGTGCTAAAGCGTTAGGCTCAGTCCCATACTCATATAATTATGATTTGTGACTGTTATGAGACTTCAGTGTTAAAATATTTTAGATTCTCTTGCCCCGTACACAGATACGAATAGGACGTAGCTTAACTCCTTATTGAAAATTATCCTCCCAAATAGTTTAATCAACAACCGCTGTTTTATTCCTTAATTATAATTAAATGTTATAAATTTATAATACATTATACAAGTGAAGTATATCAATGTACCTAAGAAATAATGAACGTTTGCAGAATTTTTCTGGGAAGAGTCAAAGATAATATAAAAAATAAATGGGGATTTTTTTGTAAAAAAAAACTATTAACTTTGATATATCATTTACAGTTTTTATTATGGATATAGATCTAAAATGTACACATTTTATACATTCATACATTCTTTTTAGTCAAATGTTTTTTTTTCATTTTTAATTGTTATTACATTATATTCTCACAATTAGAATTATTAATAATTATTATTATTTATTACAATAGGTAGGTACCATACATTTTATTTGCCTATACTAAATTAGTACAATCGTGTTCCGTAAAGTATATTGTAAAGTTTAGGATGTTTAGATAAACTGATTAACCTATTTGTACTAGAATTTTAGAGAAGAGAATGGGCAACGTGTCTTTTTTTAGTTTATAATATTAATAAGAATGGATTAGGGCTAAGTAAATAGAATACATCGAGATCTGTATAAATACTGAATATGTCTAAAAATCCATGTAAATTAGATGCCTATATTTATGATAAAATAAACTCAAAAGGTAAACATTTTTAACCAATTTTCCACAAACTACATTTTAAGGGTATTCATTTGAAAATTTGGGACGATAATCATAACCAAGCCACCCACTCTAAAAAATAAAAATTGTCTTACTATCGTGAATTAAACTGTATTTTTTTGTTATCTAAATAATTTGATTTCAAATAAATATAAAATTAATTTTTAATCTGAAGATAGCTATTTAGCATATTATTAAATTAAAGTGTGAATCGTCGAAAAACTGTGCATCAGGTGCGCACAGGGTGAGCAGAATATGCATCTATATCTATACAAAATGTTATACATGGGAACTATTTTAAATTTTTGATCTAATTACAAATATTATTTTCAATTATGGGTAAAATGCATAACAAAATAGGAAATCATTCTATTGTACAGTAATAGAGTAGATGTCAAGTACGAAGAGTACACTTGTACTATATTACTTCGTCAATAATCACTAGTCTAGTTAATAATATTTATTTTATTTTATATTCAAAATACGTATTCGAATGTTTTTTTCTTAATAATTAGAATATTGGATATTATTAATAAAAAAAAAAAAAAAAAAAATGAGATAAAATAAATGTAATTGAATAATTTAGACTATTCGCCTGTAATGAATCTATTAAAATAATTTGAATCCAATGAAAAACCATTATGAGTGGAGACGATTTATTATTTTTGTAACCATGGATACTAAATAATTATTTTAATAGTAATATAAATTTAAAATTAAAGATGTTCATGTTTCCCAATTATTTTAAAAACGTTTACTTTTGACTACTATTTTTCACGAGTAATTAAATTCATGAGTACCTACATGTAAAAATTAAAATTCACAAATTCAAACATCGAATTTAAAATTTACGCGAATCTATGAATTTTTTCACGTAAATTTTTTTTTATTAATAACATGCGTTTATTATTACACTTAGAACTTTATTTTAAATTAATTTAATACATTCCAATGGTTCAAGTTTCAAACAGCGGTGGCCGGTGATCGGTAATCAGTTACCTATTCATTTTGAACCCAAAGCATTTGATCCGCCTATTCTGTATATCCGTACGATAATATTACTTATCATGAAATATTTATTTTTAGACTAGTAAACGCAAATATTTTTAGTTCTTAGTTTTTTACTACAATTATTAACATTTTATATTTTATACGTTATATTATAATTTAATACATTTAATAAATATTATGTTTTAAATACACTTGAAATAAATATCTATGATTTACCAATAATTACACGTGAACAAAAAACACGCAATAACATATATCTTAATTCACGATCAAATTCGAGAATTCTACTTTTCAGTTTTAACCAACTTAAACTTAACCTTAAGTACAAACTAAATCTAATTTGTTACAAGTAACGTCTTTCGAAGATAATAATTGAAAATTTTTCTGGAAAAATAAAGTCAACTTAGCTCTGTGGTTCAAACCAGTAGAGACCGAAACGATCATCCAGTCCGTAGTCCGGCAGGCTCGGTGCAACAAAACTAAAACGTAGAATACGAAAATCGTATTTGGTAGTGCCATCTGGGGGCGTATATAATTTGTTAACAGTTTTGGTGGTTTTATGAGCATTCGCGTTAGTTGACCTAATTGACCGCTGTAAACAGCTGTTACATTGTTACAATCATCCGGATTGATTTATAATAATTATAAATAACTAAATTATTGTCTATTGACAATATTCACAATTTACAATGGAATATTAAATTTATAATATCGTAAGGTCTGATTTGTAAATATTCACGATACTAAGTCAAGCTTGCCTTAAAAATAAATGGTGCACTTGATTATAAATTAAGTACCTGCTATCAGAGCATTTCGAATTTTAGTAATTTTTTATTTTTATTTTAAAAACCCAAATAACTTAATTTAATATTATACTTATACATGTACGACATATTTTCCATGGTCATTGTTGAGATGTATAAATTACTCACTAAGTATAAAGCAAAAAATTATTGCCATACTGGTCAGATACAATAACTGTCGAATCGTGACAAAAGGATCCACTAATGATATTTGCATAGGTATATTATTATACAAATAAAATATAAATGATTGTTATACGTTTTTGAATTTACTTGATCATAATAATAATAAAAAAAATATGGTGTTAATTTTCTTTTTGATAATAATTCAAAAAGATTTTAATAATCTTATTTAAACAAAATAAAATAAATTAAGACATTTTTTATGTAACTCTTATTCACTCTTTTTACATACTCAAAATTGAAAAACAATAAAATATGGCTTATAAATAGTTTAAATAATACAACTGTGAAGCCGTCTTAAAAACAGTAGATTACTAAAAAATAAAAATTTCATATATAAGTTATAAAAAACAAAGTACATTAAAAAAACGTAATTAATAATTTAAATACAAAATAATATGAAATTCAACCATAATAAATTTCAGAAATAGGAACTATAAATAATACAAAACACAATTCCCTAGGAAAAAAATAGTTGAATGTATTCACTGGAACTGAAAAATCTGTTTCAGATCATCTAATGTTATTTTGGAAGAAATATCACTAGTACCCTCAAACAAATTTTGAGCAATTTTTAATTTGTGAGACTGAATGTCCAGTATTCTAGTTTCAATTGTATTATTACATACAAATTTATAAATATTTACTGTTTTTTTTTGGCCAACTCTGTATACTCTGTCACTTGCTTGTGCCTCCATTTGGGGATTCCAATGAACATCCATTAGGAACAAATGGTTAGCCGCCATAAGATTAAGACCAACACCTCCAGCTTTCAGTGACAGCAGCAAAATCTTAATAAGTAAGAAAATAAAATGTAGATACAAACTCTAATACAGCAGCATGTCATTAGTACACAATAATTTATAAACAAAGTCAAAATTAGTTAATCAATTATCATTATCTTTTCCAAAAACTCAAAATCAATATATTAAATGATACATTTAAAATATTTACAATATATCAAAATTAAAAAATTAAATATTTTATTACTTGTGGTCCACCGTTAGGATTGTTGAATTCACGAATGATTTTAGTCCTTTTTAAAATTGGAATTGTTCCAGAAAACATTTCTATCTTGGCATTATACTGAGCCAAATGTTTATGAATCAAATATAGAAAACTTGGCCATTGAGAAATTATGATAGCTTTATCATCATTACCGTTAAGTAAGACTTTATCATTGACCAAATCACAAACTTTTTTTATCTATGAAAATAGTTTAATTATTACATAAGAACATACATAAAAGTTATACAATTCCTGGTACTTATTTGTTATCACCCTGCTTTATAGTATACCATTATTCTTCCTACAACTATCGTATTTAGCTTAATATGGGAAAAAATTCTATGGTTGATTGGGGTAATTATCTATATTATTCTAACTTGTAATAGGATTCAAACATAATACGGTTAACCATACCTATATTTTTGTTGATCTGGATATAAGGGCACACATCGAGGTTGTGGGATTCTACTATCTGGATAAATAAAATGCCTTGGGGAAAACTAAAAGAAATTTTCTGAAAACGTATTTGGCATAAATTTATGAGGAGAACACGTCTCAGGGAACAAGATACATATGTAACTATCTTAAAAGATATATTAGAGTTTTGGCCTCCAATATTCATTATAATTATGATCAAATATACATATATTATACCTGTATATATTTACTTCTGGACTTTTTAAATTATTAATAATATAATATAAAACTTATTTATTTATTATATTGTTTATTTTATTTATAGCGGGATGATAACAAACAAGAGTGGCAGGGCGATAACAAACAAGTACAAAATTTCTGCTGTTCACATTTATATAATATTATATTATGTATAATGATAATATTTGAAAATTGTACCTTAGTAGAAATCCAAGATTTTTGAAAAATGTTACTGTCATTGTATAACTCAAGATTTTTCTTAGCAGGTTCTTCGTTTAGTGTAAGGCAACTCATAAGTCTTGATAATTCAATAATTTTTGGACAGTTAACTATTTTGGTGCTTTCATTATAATATGAATCACTATTAGTTAAATTGCATTCACTATCCTCATTAAAATTTTCAGGAATATTCTCTACATCTTTTTTAATACTCTCTTCAGTTATAGGCTAAAAACATTAAAAAGACAATGGATATTTAATAAATTTATTTACAAATTTTAAATTACTAAAACCACCCACTCCATTAATCAAAGCTGGATGACAGCAAATTTGTCTCAATCTCAAAAGTAACACTAGTATATGATATGTTTGTATTTCTTCTATATTCTTAAATTTTCTGAACAACTCAAGTAATTCAGGGTGATCTTTGATGATCTGGTCTTTATCTTGACTTTGTTCTATAATTACATAACCAATTTTTTTAATAATGCAAGTATTCAAATACATAAAGTTTACACGTGAAGAATATGTTGCAAAAAATATCATAAAAAGATATATAGATAAAATTTTACTTAAACATTTAAAACACCTAAATAAAAAGAAACAATAATATAATTTTAAAACTAATTAAACAAATTACCTTGAAAATTTTGAACTTTACATTGTACTTTGGTACTAGAATCCAATAATTTTTCTTTTGCTACTCTATCATACAGATAAGTAGCAAAAAAGTTACTGGAAAAATAAATAACATTAGTCACTATTTTTTTTACTATTGCTCCATTACATTAAAATTGATTAAAACCTTGAGAATTGCAGTAATTTCTCATAAGCATTTCGTTCTTCTTTTGATAATTCAATTTCAATTTCATGAACTATTTTATTAGGTATTTTGAAAGTTGTGTACTTGGAAAGTTCTTGTTTCGTTCGACGAAGCATTAATGTTTTAACAAGCAGGGATAGCCTATGTTTACCAGCATTGTCGTTATTGCCGACCCACCTCTTCCAAATCTTTAAAATTAAAAAAAAATAACATTGTTATAACTAGTTCTCAAATTCACATAAAAATAATATAATAATTCAACTTAGAAAACAATCAAAATTTTTTTTTAATAGGTGGAAAAAGAGGGATTACTTTACTTTACATCAGGGATAGAGTTAGTCACTATAACAGGCGAGTTAAATTTAAATTCAATGATTAATCGTTATATTCAAAAAACAATTTTGAGTAGAGACTGTCTATTAGCCTATAGCCAGTAAGTTTATTTCGTATTGTTTTTTGATATAACAATTAAAGAATTTTTGACCAAGAAATTGAATTTGAAAAGATCATTATGTGTATAGATAAAAATATACAAAAAAAGGTTGTCCTTCTTAAATGTTTTTGAACTTTAACAAAATAATGAATGTCATTTATCAGTTTAAATATATAATTTTGTGGAAATCTGAAATTAAAATGTCCATAAAAATAAAAATTATGTTTGTATATTTTTTGGATTTTTTGGTTTCAGTATAAACCACTTATGAAGAACTTTATTCAATTTTCAAATTGTGTTTTAAAAAGAAAGATTTTTATGAATTTTTAACTAAAAAATAATTTGAAAAAATACTACGATTTTTTTATTTCTCAAGTGCAAAGTATACTCTGTTAACAAGAGTTCAGAACTGCCTACCTAGTGGGCAATAACTGGCCATTCCCTCCTTACTGTAACACCTAAAGGTTATTACCCACCTACTTAGCATCTATTTCTATAGAGTAGAAACAAATTATACAATGTATAGTTTGGTCAAGGAGAGAAGATTTCTGATGGAACTCTCACATTCATGAAATTTGCATATGCAAAGTGATCCTAGTCTCTTGGTAAACAGAATATAAGTCTAATCTAACTACTTATCGCGTATACACAAAAAAAAAAAATCATGTAAAATTAATATATTCATCACTCTGGTTAAAATATCTAAAATATTAACTGTTTTATTAAATTTTGTCGTTTATGTGAAGACTCAAATTAATAACTAATAATGTATTCACATAAAAAGTATCAAAATTCAATTATAATGTGCATGGGTAGGTATATAATGAAATTGTTTAAATGTAGGTAGTTTTTAATATTGTCATTTATTTATATAAATAATTAAAAATTAATAATCTAAAAAACATATATTTTTATACTTACTAGCCAATCATCAAATGGATGACAACGAATAAATTTTAGAAGAGTGTAAAAATCAGCTTCTTTATTATGAATCGGTGTTCCTGTTATAGCCCACCGATATATAGACATCATACTACATACCGCTAAAGAAGTTTGTGTCTTTTTATTTCTTATTTGATGAGCCTCATCTAATATGATTCGCCTCCATTTAATTTGGAACAATGAACTCTAAAATTAGAAAGATTATTATCTAAAATCAATTTTTTATAATTCTTACGAAATGTTAACTAACAGATTTCTGTTTTTTATAATCCCACATTATTAAATTATATGATGTCATTACTACATCATTTTTTGCCAATTCTATAGCTGCTATATTTCTATTTATTCCATAATACTGGCCAACTTTTAATAGTTCTGGTTTCAATTTGGTCATAAATTCATTTTCCCATTGACTCAATAAGGATGCCGGACAAACAATCAAAGTCCCACCAATTAAAACTACAAAAACATAGTAAATAATATGAAAAATAACATTAATTTTCCTTTAAGAAGATACAAATTTAATATCTTTGAAAAATATTGTACTCTGAGAATTAATATAACTAAATTTTAATAAGATATTACCATCATTACTTCTGTTGTCAATAGATACCGTTGGTAGTAAACTGCCAAGTTGTTTTTCTTTCAGAATCAATGATATCATAGTCAGAGTTTTGCCTAAACCCATGTCATCCGCTATAAAATAATATTACCAATTTAATATAATATTATGATTAATGAGTAAATTATTATAAATACTTTTTGTGTATACTATATACCTAAAATTCCACCATGTGGCTCTTGACGTTCTCTCCAAATTAGCCAAGCAATAGCATGTTTTTGATGTGGCATGAGAGACACAGTTAACCCTTCTGGGTCTTCCATCAATATACCAGATGATGGACATGTATCTAAAGACTTATGTAAAATTTTTAAGACATCTAATGTCATTGTTTGTTGAGTTAAATAGATACACAAGGCTGAAATAATAAAATTATTACATTAATTTAGTACTGGAGGAATAAGTAAAAATATTACCTTTTTCACTCATAGCATTAATATTTATACTTGCAGCTGCTCTTTTTGCTAATGCATTTTGTGAATTAGTAGATTTTACTAAAGATTGAGATATATAAGGTGAGATAACTGATTCATTCATATCCAATTTCTCATCAAATTTATTCAATAAATCTTCATTTTTAATGATTTCTTCTAGAAATTTTTTTTTGTTGTCAATTTCGCCTAAGAATTAACAATTTAAATTCTTAGTCTAAGTTTAAATTATACATCTTATTAGATAGTTCAATAGGTAATACATACTTATTAAGCTGTTTTGATTTATATCGGAATAACTAGATTGAACTATATTTGTTTTAGTTATCTCCTCACTATTGAATTTGATTATTGTTTCAGATTCATTATTTTTAAAAGATTTTTGAGACTTTTTTATAGCCTGACGTGTATTATACACAAAAATTGAATTATTTTCATTGTTTTGATTATGATTTTTGTTTGAATCTTCTAAATTTTGTTCTTTATTAAAACTACCTGCTGATAATTATTTTTTGTTTTTTATTAGTAAACTGTTTTATAAATACAGTAACATTTTTTTAAGGCACTAATCATGGGACCAACTCAAAAATGCTTCTTATACAGGAATTGAAAAAAAATCTAGATAGTTAAAACATCAAGTTTGTTTATTTATTAATCATTATTAAGTGTATTTCTAATTTATCAATAATTTCTAATTTTTCTCTCCATAATCTAATCATATATTTTTTTTAAATGTTTGATTTGTCTGAAATTGATAGCACTTTATGCTTTATACCACTAGAACTGGCCATAATAAAACCACTACAAAAAATGTGCCAATAAATTGCACAACGCTAAATTTCAAAGTCTATTAAACTCAATTATCAGTTGACATTTCATAACACAATTAAATATGTTAAAATAAAACAATATAAATAAACAAGTAAAATTTCTATTTTTATAATTAAACAATTATTATAGAAGTTTATTGACAACTGATCAAAAGAGCATTTTAATCGATTAGATAAAGAAAAATATATTGTAAAAACAGGTTGCTTTTACATTTATAAGTATGGAAAATGGATAGTTAAAAAACAGCAACTTCAGCAAGAAACCATCTAAAGCAAGAGTAACTCTTTTATTTACAACTTAATCATATTAATACTTTAATTTACCATGGTCTATACACAAATTATCAGATTTAATCATATTAATGGCTGCTGAATCATCCAAACTAGGTTTTGTAATGCTAGCAGTTATATTCACATTTGAATCCTTTAACATTTTCAACTCACTATCAGCATTAGCATTCATTGCACAATATTGAACATCATTTTTGAAGATAAAAACTTCAGATTTATCGTGTGAAATTTGTCTCTTAGACATACTTATATTTAAAATCTATAAAATAAATTAATTCATTCACAAGTTTACAATTTTAAACTTATTTTAATATAATTATATTACTTTATTGTACTGATCATGATTATGACCAGGTGAATGAATAAATGAAACTGCAGGAGTTTTCTCAACATTACTCAAATTATTACAACTCCCAATGGAAGAACCTAAATCTTTAATTTTTGAATCATTATCACATGTTTGTTCATTATTAGTAGAAATGGTTGCATTTGATTTGTCTTGACTTTTAACAAAAATGCTAAAAATTGTATCAAATAACACAATTAGTAATTATTAGAATTACAAATTAAAAAAGAAGGCACCTTGAACTTAATTCCAAACATATATTTTACTGAAAAAATATAGCTTATTTTACTAAGTTAAAATATAAAAATGTGGGCAAATAAATACATAACCTGTTGTACACTTCAGTATAAGTTAAATTTAAATTTGATAATAAATCATTGTATACAAAAAACAATTCTGAGAGGAAACAGTCTATCAGTCTATATCACTAAAAACTATACTATATTATATTATATTAGTGTTATTAACTTTTAAAGTAATAAAATCTTACTAAATGATAGTGTAAAAATTTTATAGTATAAATATATTATACCTTGAAATGAAACTATATATTTTGAAAATATCATTGCCTTCATAATAATCTAACCATTATATAATTACACAATATGTAAATATTCAACTTTGTCAAAATTTAAAATTCAAATAAATCGAAATTATAAGATACATTGAATTAAATTTTATAAGTGTTAAAATTAATAATGTTTCAAATTCAATTATGAAATTATTAACTTATCCTAATGATTTCAATGGATTTTTTTAAAAATATTGTTTATGTATTTTTCAAATTTTTTTACTCAAAAACAAAAATGTTATCATACGTGAATCAAAAATATCAAACATTTAAAAATATAAATAACACAAAAAGAGCTAAAATATTTAAAAAATTATATTATGATTCAAGTCAATAAAATTTAAATTTAAAATATAATTATGAAATAGGTAATAAAATAAAAAAACTAGAACTAATCAAACTAGTAACTAATAAATAATTAGAGTATTTGATTAACAATATGATGATTATCTATAATAATTAATTTAATACAATATGACAAAAGAATTTTGTCAAAAAGTGGTTTTGGGTAATAATTCTTATTTTTTTTTTAATTATTTTCCCCTTCATTATATTAACAAGTTTTAGGCATTTTTACATTGAACTCTTCAAGAGTACTCATAAGATACAATTTTCTATCAGAAACTACTACTTAAGTTAAAGATCAAACCATTTGTATTACTTTAGTCTACAATCTACTAAAAACATGTACACATACATAAATATCAATGTAAAATTCATTCATTGGGCAAAGTGACACTTAAAAACTAAAAATAAAAATGTATACAACTAAATTCCCATTTTTAATTTCATTCCAGGGTGATCTAAAAAATTATAATGCTACACCTATACTCTCATCAAGCTAGCTCAGAGTAATATGAACTCAAAAGTTTAATGGATTACTCATTAAATATGTATATTGTGGGCAATGTGTTGTGTATCAGTTTTTTGGTCTCGAGGCTTGAGATGAAATATAGTGAGAATGTAACAGTAACATATTGTTAAGCTAATTACAGCATACTACTTATCAGGCCCAATGACTTATTCCATTAAAATATAAACAAAAAACTATATTTCTAAAATATATTACCAATTATCTATTGAAGTATCTTTTTCAAAAGACAACAGTATGTTATCTTCTTCATCTGAATTTTCAATGCTACTAATATCACAGTCATAGAAATATTTAACATTGTCCTCATAATCTTTTGCTGAACTAGAACTGAGTAAAAAATAATAATAATAATTAGTAAATTAGATATCCACATATATGATAACAATTCCTTAGTTTGAGTAATGAATATTATATTATAATAACCTTTTTTAACTTTAATTTAATAGTTTCAAAACATTTTTACTAAAGGCCATAAATAACTCTTAACAGGGAAAATATAATACAACAATTTAATTTTAATTAAATAGATAAAAACAAATGCTTCCAATAATAATGCAGAAACATTACAAATATAATGATCTAGGAACAGTAAAAATTTAAAAAAATTAAACTAAATTATATTTAAATGCCTATAAATAATAAATATATTTAAATAATATTATGTATATAGTTGTTGTCTTTAGACTACTAATTTATAAACTATATCATCTCTATTAATGAATAATGGTAAATTTTCTTCAACAATTAGGCACATTCAAGATCTACTTAAATAATTTATAAGTATAGGAAAATTAATTTAATTGTTATATTTCATTGTTAAATAGAGTTAATATTAAAAAAATAAATAAATCTATCTACTGTCTCACCCCAATATTGAGAAGTGTAGGTATAATTATTAATGTAATATTTTTACTTAAAATTTATTTTTAATTATTTAAAAGGCATTATTATGTATATGGTATATTGTTTAAAATTATAATACCTACATACATTTTTTTTTTTTTTATTTTTTTTTTTACAGTGTTTTCAATCTTTAATGAAGTATAAAAAATATAGGTACTCAACAATACATGAGTTAATTGCATATATTGCTGCCATTAATTTAAATGTATACATGTTTAATGATAAGAATTCATTGCACTGAATTTAAAAATTTACAAAATACACATAACATAGGTGGAGAATAAATAGAAAATAAAAATTATAAATTACCTAATAAGAGTATTGTTATTTCTGGATACTTCATTGAACTTTAAACACGGAGAAATAGACTTTTCATGAAATTCACATTCTATTCCATATTTTACCAAGTCTCTGCTTGATGGCATTAACAATAGAGAATCATCTGAGTGTTTAGAATCATTTTTAGAGATTTCAAGAATTTTTTTTGCCTAAATGGTTTAACATAATATAATATTATTAATTGCACATGACATCATACAAGGAAATTATACTTACATCAGTAGAATTGAGAGACAAACTTCTGCAATACAAAATTAAAACCAAATAAATATACAATACACCTACATTTTTCCAATACAGACTAATTTATTGCGAATACATTTTTTACATTTTTTTTCTTTTTTCATTAACATTATGTCTCATACCAACTTAAATTAATTTATTTGATTATACTAAATAAATTAGAATTACTTCAGTTATACAGATTTTAACTAATGCCAAAATTGCAGTTATTATTAAATTGTGTAATCATTCATTCATAAAGATCCTATGGCAAACTGTCAATACTGAGGTGTTTAGCATTCATCTCAGACTCTGACAAAACCACCAGGTACAAAATTTTAGTACTTGAGTTAATGTAATTAATTTAGATTGATATACAATATACATTAAAGAATAATAAATTATTAAAAAAAATAAAATTGTAAATTATTCAAGACATATAAAACTGATTATACTATTATACTGGTTATTAATTTTTTACGCCAAATTTATTGGTTATATACTTTAAATATTTCTATTTTTATAATAAAAATAACTAATAAACAGATAAATATTTAATGATATTTACTAAATTCCTAAATATAAAATTAATCTTAAATAAATCTATTTAAACTTATAACTTAAGAATTAAAATAATTGTTCTCACCTTTCACATCGTTCATCAATGTCCTTATTAATAAATATAGTTTCATTATTTTCATAATTTGTAGATATATTAAATTTGTCTACTTGGTCTGATCTGATGAAATTTGAAATCATAAAATTACTCAACTATAATTAATTACATTATTAATAAATTAATTATCCTTACCTTTGACCCTCATTAACAAGACTAGTATTTTCACTATAAACATGTCTCGTTAACTCCAAAAAATCATTTGCATTTAGAAACGTTTTAGAAACACTACAATATAACATAAAATATAAAAATATTAATACATAACATACATAATGATAAAAATTAAATTAATACTTTTCATAAAAATAATCATCACAAATTTGAGATACAGTTATTTTATCTACATAATTTTTATCCACTTCGAACTCATATTTTTTATTATTAAGCTTTGAAAGCGTTTCTTCTTCATCATGAATAGATCCTTTAAAAATACTGCAATAATTTGAACATTTCAAATTAATAATGTTTAAAAAAAGCTATTATTTGTTCTTACTTTATATTCCTTTTTTCAACATTAATTTTAGATGAACAATGCTCTTCATCTTCTACCATAATTTTATCATTTACATATTTATTGTAATACTCATCATCATTACTAAAGGATAAATAATATACAATTGTAAAATAAACTATCATCAAATTAAATTTTAATATAATATCATACATTTTAGATTGAGAACCATCTTGAGAATTTACATCAATCAAAACATCTATCATGTTTGATGGACCAAAATTATACTTTTCTTGATTGTTTAGAGTTTTAGAATTACTTTTAAAAGAAATTTATAGTTAATGAAATGTTTCTAAGGTTAATATTGGTTGTTATTTTACAAATAATATCATCTTACCTTTTACATCTATTTGTTTGACTGTCTACATTTTTAATTACCTCATTCAATTTTTCTTTTTGGATAATTGTTTCTTCAAAATCACTAAAAACCAGAAAAATTATTTAATTAGTATTCAAACTAACTAATTAATAGTAAAAAAAGTATTATATTACATTTTTTGATCTACAGAAAAATGAGTTATTTCTTTATTCCCAGTTTTTGTTTCAGAATTTATGTTGTCAAATGACCTAAGAAAGGATTCATTTTCTTAAATTATAGTTTGTTTTTAAATGTTGTAATAATATATATATATATATATATATATAAATTAGTCTATAAAAGTATAAATTATTTGTTGTTACCTTTTACACTTTATTTCCTCATTAATATAATCATCATCCAAAATGATTTCATCACTAAGACATTTAGTTAAATCAATAAAATGATCTTGTTTGATTGGATTACTGCTAATGGGCAAATAAAACTATATTAATAGGAACATAAATATTTAATTAATATATTACCTAAAATCAAAATCATCTTCATAAATTTGAAGCACTTTACTATTATTAATTTCAATTTCATTATTAAAAAATTCTTCACATTCTTCACTGCTAAAATTAAAAGGAATAATTATATTATTTAAATATAAAATTAAGACATTACTTTGGAAGGTCTAGACAACAACTATTTGAAGAATTCAATGAAACCATGATATCTTCTATGATTTGTTCAAATTCTTCTTCAATAGACTCTTCATCATAATAATCACTTTTATTTGATCTTATCCCCAATTGTATTTCATTCCCATTATTAGATAACTCTACTAAAGAGTTTTCAATTTGATTGCTTAAAGAAACACTGGAATATATTTTAAAAATATAATTTTAATAAGAGTTGCTAACCAACTTCTATTGAATGCTCATATAAATTTGAGTAAAACCATAATAGTTAATATTTTTAAATTTGAATAAAAAGAACTTTTGTGTACAAACATAAAAATGAATTTAAAATTTCTTAATTGACTTACAAACTCGCATTGGTTTCTATTGAGTGGATTGAGGTATTACTTTTTAAACAATTATCCATTTCATTATCATCTAAAGAGTGAACAGTGTAGAAAGAAACATCTCGACAGCTAAATAAAAAAAAAATTTAAATCTATTTAATTTAGTTATCATAAAATTGAATTTAAAATAAATTACATAACTTAAGCTCAGCTTTCTACAAATTTAAATAAAGATAATTAGATTTTTATTTAACTACAAATTATATAAAAATAACTAAATGCAATAAATATAAGCATTGATATTTGATATACAAGATCATAAAAGAAGGATTTTGTAAAATAGATTTTTTGCATACTATTATTCATAATAATAATGAAATATTTTTTATTTATGTATTTGTATACTTAATTTAGAACTTTTCTCACATCAACAAACTAAGTTTAGCTATTAGTTATTGCCTTAGTACATACATATATTAATATAAAAATAATAAATAAGTTTTGAAATAAATACAATTACTTTTCTGTTCCAAAATAAAACATATTGGATTTAAATTGATCATCAGTCTGAAAATTCCTGGAAAAAAATTGTGAAGAATGTAAAAATAACTTTCATTATTTTTTATTAATAAACTGTCATAATTTATATTGTCAGATACTACAACAGGCATTTTAAATACTCCATTGTTAGATATAAGTTTTTATGAAACCAAAATTTTCGAAAAATTAAAATATAAGAAAATTATTTTGCAAATATATTTTATAGAATCTTGATAAATATTTTAATAGTATAATAAGGTAGAAGATGGAATATGATTGGTCATGTCTTAAAACACGAAGAAGAGCTTCTGTATATTATAATAGAAGGGAAGATGAATGGTAAAAGAGATCGAGGATAACCAAGAATGTCTTATATCAAAAGGGTGATTTCCGAAGCGGGTCTAGCAAACTATAAGGAGCTGAAGAGGCTAGCTGAAAATAGAGATGAATGGAGAAATTTCGGAAAATTGCAAAACCAACCTTAGGGTTGATTTACTAAAAAAAAAAAAAAAAGGTAAGTATCACTCTACTATACATTAGGTATTGAATTAATATTATAAGTGTATAACATTTTAATTCAAAGATATATCATTGAATAAGAAAAACGATTCTGAGCAGATATGGTCTATTATCTTATATCACCAAGTGATAGTATATTTGTTTTACTTTTAGTATTATAACTGATTTTTTCTAAAATATTGCATTTACTATATTATAAGTATTTAATTATTATAATAACATTCATATATTAAATGTTATATATATATATTATTTTTTGGTATATTTTAATATATTACATCAATTCAAACAATTCAATGTTAAATTATATCTTTTTATAAATACTGTACTTTAGTAAAAATAGATGTATAGTACTTATAAATAAATAATATTTTAAAATAAATCAAAAATGTTATTGCATATAGTAAATTTCATAATACTAAAAAATACATGAAAGTTTAAATTCCCACAAACAATATTTTCAAATACAACAAAATACCTTTATTTGTTGTTCAATTAATTTTATTTGAATTGGAACTTAAAATATTTATAAAAATAATTATCTTTATACCTACATCTTTCAAATTGTATGGTTCTAATATGAAATATTTAAAAGAAATTTTAAGTAAAATTTTCTAAACTTAAGCACAAAATGAAAAATTTTTATCAATTTTTAATTATAAAATAGTTTATAAGTATTTACTATTTTATTAAAATTTGTCAAAATTTAACTTTAAATGCATATAAGAAAAAAATGTGCTTATGTAATTTTAATATTTTTATATAGATGTATGAATAAATTTTATAGGCTCTTGTGTTTTAAATTTTCAAACATTTTTACCCAGCAAACAACTTTTAATTGACATTAAAAATAAAAATCAAATAACTCAAAGCAAGTTAAAAAATTTATCGTACAATAAAAATCATAATATAAATATTTAATAAAAATTTGAATTATCTAAAAAAAATTTTGTTTTTTGTTTGAAAAATAGATAAATATTAAAAATTGTTTGAAGAAATTTAATTATTTTAGGAGTGAACATTGAATGGAAGATGAATACCTGTCATCTTCAGTAGAAATACAATTTTTCTTGTTATCCAAAATTGTTTCATTTAATAAAATTGGCATATTCAATTTTGCTACTTGGGGTGGAATATTTTTTGAATCTCTGGTAAAAATTAAAACAAATAATTATATTATTTTAATATAAAATTAAGACATAACTACATTTTATGGATGTTATTTTCAATTAATAGTGATATAGTCGTTTGATCATATTCAAGAGGAATATTCTTATCAACACCTCTTGACTTAATCAATTTTTCTTTAGAAATACTTTCATTGTAGGTATCACTATACAAAAATTATACCTTATAAATAAACTAATAATTAGAACATAAAGTAAAAATATTATTACATATCATTTTTATGTTCATAAGTGTCAATAACTGTTATTGGTAAACTATATTCTGTATTGGAGTTAGAAATTAAGTTTATTTTTTTAAGACAGGTTAAACTCTCATTAATACATGAATCATCAACTGGCTTTAATATGTTTTCAAATTCATTAACACTCTCATTTACATTGCAAAATTAAACATATTAATATATTTAATGTACTATATGAAAACATTTTCAATTAGTTAGTATAATGCATGGATTTTTTTTTTTTAATGATATGTTATTATTTTCAATGAATATTGAAAAAAGATTGTTTTACACAATCTAGATAGTTCTTAAATAAAAGCTTTCTTAGATTTAACCATTTATATTGTACATACTAAAGTTCTATTATAATCTTATATTTAATTTAATTACTTTGGAAGGTCAAGACAACAACTATTTGAAGAATTCAATGAAATCATGATATCTTCTATGGTTTGTTTGATTACTTCTTCAATAGACTCTTCATCATAATAATTACTTTTATTCAATCTTATCTCCAATTGAATTTCATTTTCATTATTAGATAACTCTATTAAAGAGTTTTCAATTTGATTGTTTAAAGAAACACTGAAATACATTAAAAAAATTTTTTACAAGAATTTCTATTTATTTTACAAATTTAAAAAATAATAACAATAAAAATATTTTTGAAAACATTTATAAATGTTGGAATAATAAGTTATGTTTGATAAAATAATCACACAATATAATAATAAATTAAAATAGTTAAAATAAATAACTTACTCCTCAATAGTTTGGACTTTGATGTGAGTGTTGTCTTCATCATCAAAATTATATGATAATTCTAACATTTTTACCTCATCGTTGGAAATACTTTTAGTATCTCTACAAAAATTTATAATTAACATTTAGAACCAAACATTGTAGTAAAATAATTGATAGCAAAATCACAAATTACCTTTCAAAATCATTATCTTGTTGAAAACTTATATTATTGTCTAATTTAATCATTTTATTGGCATGTTTTGTTGTGTTAATTTTTTTGATAAACCTTTAAAAATTAATTTTAAGATAAAAATAATGTAAATTTTTTTTTTAATATTATAACTTAAAAGATTTTTAAATTGATATGAATATTAATAATGACTCGAAAAAACTAAAATTAAGTAAAACATACTTGACAAAGAAAATAGTAAAAAAATAAAGATTGGTTTTTTTATATTAATTATCATTTATTATTTTTTAGGTATATTTTTAATGTATGCTAAAAAGTTACAATTTTTAAAAAATACAAAATAAATCTTTTCAACACAAATTTATAGAAATAGCAGCACAAAACATGACAAATACTATTAAAAATCTCTAATTATACAACATAAGATCTCATACTTGGAATCCTTATTATATAGAACAATGTATACATAGATATTCTTCTATTCATAAATGTATTCAATAAAAATTATCAATTATATAGGATTCAAGCCCTATTTATAAATTATTAATAATAATAAAAATGTTTACATTTACATGATATTACAGACCATGTAATAATATTAATAACTTATAACACATGTATTCTCATGACAAGGTGACACATGATCCGTGTGGGGAATGATACAGACAATGAGAGGCCAGGACGAATGGTATGTGCATTGTATTATTTAATTAAGCAATTAAGTCACCACCTTCGCCGCCGACTATCATTATGTATAGACCATTATAAGGGCAACCTGAGCAAGAACTTGCCAGACAGTTAGAGGTATTCAAGACGTTCAGAAGCAAGTCGTAACAACACTCACAATCTTGCTTAACAGCATTTTAGAATTAGATTGTAACACTGTTCACAAATATCTTATACTTACAATAGTGTAATTTTTATATTTACGTCTAAGTTAAATAAAGATTTACTAAATAATTAATATATCAACTATTCTTATTTCTGCGTTGATATATGAATTGACGTTGTCATCAGGACACAACAATGAGATAATTTCTAAATTATTTATGTATTATAATTACCCAATACTATTTTCATTCAAGTTACAGGAATCTTCACTCGTTTCAGTATCATATTTAATTAGTTTGTTGGGTGGCTGATACATAAATTCATCATCATAGTTTACATCATTCCTAGAGTTATGGTAAAAATTAATATTTTTATAACTTAATTACATATACAATTATTTAATAGATAGTATTTTGTAATTTTAAATCAAAATTAATGTCTAGTTTATTTTTAAAGCTAAATATATTCAAGACATGAATTTCACATTAGAATGAAATATAGTATGTGTTTACTGTAAAGATTATTTACGAAGTCTAATTTAAATAATGTAAATGGTTATACAGTGAAATCTCTATAAATGGACACCTGTCAATAGTGAACACTTTTAAATTTCCCAGCAAAAATGTATGCATATAATAGGAGTTATAACCTCTAGTAGATACTCCTAATAGTGGACGTGGACACTAAAAACTAGTACCAAAATTAAAAATTACCTTTCATAAATAGACACAATACACGTACATATCGAACATTTTTAAGTAATAAAAATACTATCTTTTATACATTTTGTTCATATTTTATCTTATTTTAAAGGTTTTCTTATTCGGAAAATGACAAATGGTTCGGTTATGTGTTCAGTTATCAGTAGTGTGCTGCACATAGTATGAAAACATTAAAATGTTTATAAACATTTATACACCATTTTTTTACTATATACATATATGTACAATAAATAATAAATTAATATTATATGTATATAATATGTATGTATATTATTAATATGTATATGTATAACCAATTCTCTGTATTATCTCTCTATAGAGGACACTTAGTTATTATGTCTACTATGTAATAGTTTTCTCAAAAGTGAGCATTTTTTAATTCTTCAATGGCTATCCATAATATAGAGGTTTCACTATAATTGATTTAAAATAAAAATATAAATTAAATTACTTTTTAATCTTTTTTATGACATTCTGACTTGCAACCTTTTCAATGTGCTCAATCTGTTGAGTTAATTGTTGGATCACATCACTCAGAGATTGTTTAGAAGTCCTACAAATGAAATAATACTTAAATGTCTACACAAATACTTTTAAATAAATTTAATACTCAGTCAAGAAACAATATAAATGTAAGTAAATAATACTAACCTTGTGCATACAAAATTCGATTGATCATCCTTGCAGCAAAACATTCTATTATTTGTAAATGTTTCAGTTGTATGATCCTTTATTTTTTACATAGTACAAATAAATAAATAACAATAGTAACTAACAAAAAATAAATATTTTTAAATGCTTAAATAAAATAATTTTAGTTTAAAAAAATTAAAAGTTAATTTTCAAGTAAAATTGTATTTAAAATAGTGATGACTAAAGTATAACAAATGTCAGTTAAATTCAGTTAAATATTTCATAAATTTTCTATGAAATTTGTACTATTTGACACTTGTATATTATGTGAAACTTTTTTTTAATTACCGTCAACACTTTTAAATAAATAAAAATAAGTAAAATATGTTTTTAATTTTAATTTAAAACTATTAAGTAAACCAAATATTATTGAAAACTTAATAAATAATACATTGCATTTTTTAGAATCTGAGCAGAGCAATGTATGTATTAATATATTTATTATTTTTTTATTTTTATGTCTATTATCATTTTTTAAGATAATAAAAATGTTTAGAATTTCTACTTTAAGGGTAGTTTCTGATAGCAAATTCTATATAGTCGTTACTTATGTCAAAAGTAGAAAATTATCAGCATATTTCAAAATAAGGCAAAAAAAACAATAAATAGAATTAATGATTTTAGTTGTTTTGTTATAGCTTAAAAATATTAATTGTGAATACTTGTAACTTTTATACTATTTATACACATAATGGTATTTTCAATGACAATAGTTCAGTCAAAATTAATTTAATCTATTTATAAAATAATTTTTTTTTATTAGGCTAACAAACTGTTTTACTCTTAGGATCATTTTTTTTATGTAATTTTTCATTATTGAATTAAAATTTAACCTATACATTACAAGAACTTACTCTTCATTTCTTCAATAATAAGGTACACTCTACTCAGTCAACACTTAATATATAACAAATGGTTATCTACTATTCTCCCTTTTTTTATAAATTAAAATTTATTTATTTTTCAAACTGTCTCAAAATTATTAAAATATTACAAATTTTAACTAAAACAATTTTTCTTCGACATTTAAAAAATAATTGTACAAATTATATCAAAAAGTAAAACTACTTACATTGTATTCATCTTCATCTTCAGATATTGATCTCTTTTCTTTTTTTCTGGTATTTAACTCCATATCAATTATCTTAGAATAAAACTCATGTTAGATATAATAAAGTATCATTTTAGTCTAATCACATAATCAATTAAGTATAATACATACTTCACATTTTGAGCAAGAAGGTATAACAATTTCATTAGGCATTTTCTCTGCCATTTTAAATTAAACACTATTATAGATATTTATTAATATATGCATATAACATTATATCAATGCAAATATAATAAATAGGCATAAGAAACTTGAGACCTAAAAACAAAAACAATAACTTTATACTTAAAAATTATAATATTAAATCATTAATATCAATGATATCAGGTAATACACAAGACAATTCACTAAGTATGCTAGCCCATATTTTATTTTTAATAGAGAATTTATTCAAATGAATTATAATTTGTATAATTTTTATATATACTCATAGATCCATTAGTTCACAAGATTTTTAACTGTGGAGGCAATATTACAACAGCTTGTGGTTCCAGGAGGCCTAGGCCTGTCCTGATTTTTTTCAGCTATGAACTTGAAGTAAGACAACAATCTTTGAAATTTATCCTAACATAAAATTATAGATTTAACTTTTATGCAAGAACCATACTTTCATTAATATTAATTTTTTTTACTATTTAAATAATGTGCATAAATAAAACGAACCTAACGAATGATAAAACTAAATTAAATTAAACTAAAAATAAATTTGTACAACAATTTTGTATGGTGAATAATTAACGGACTAAATAATTATTCACGTGTGGTTAATCAACATTTCACTGTATACATCATATTATTCATATTATAATATATTGAATTGATATAGAATGTGTTCACGTTAAGAGGTACCACAAAATATTTCAGTTGGATTACCTTGTATTGAAATGGAGTTTTTGGAGAATTAAAGGGAGTACCAAAAACACACAATTTCAGATAAATTTCAATATTTTTACCATGCCACTATGCGCATGCGCAACATATACAACTTACTTCTTTTTAAATGGCAATACCACTTTTTTTTTATATAAAGATTCAGATTATTATTTTTTAAGCAATTGTGCAAAAAGTTATTTTACAACTACAAAATTGGCAAAGTTATAGCATGTTGAAGTTTAAATTTTTGAATTATCTGTTTTTGATAAAATTTCAACTAAAATCAACTTAGTATTTCTTGAAAATCTAAATAATATCCCCGATATTGTTAAATATCTGCTTGTTCACATAATTTAGGGTTCAATAAAAAATCGACAATTTATTTTATAATCGTATTTTGTGGACTGATGAACCTAAATTTATAAATAATGGTATAATAAATAAACAAAACAATAGATTTTGGAACGAAAGAAATTCACACTGGTCTCGAGAAACTAACTTTCAGACGGTTTGGAATATAAATGTATGGTGTGGATTAATCAGTAGAAAACTTTTAGGTCCTTATTTTTATGAAAGATTACTTACAGGTAGAAGATATCAAAATTTTTTTGTTAATCAATTACTTTTACTGTTAGAAAATGTTCCATTAGCCACACAGAAAAATATGTATTTCAACAAGATTGGTAAACCTGCACACAAAGCCATCATTATTTGACAATATTTAAATTAAATTTTTCCTACTCATGGAGTAATTCCATGGCCAGCAAGATTTCCAGACTTAACCTTATTGGATTTTTTTTATGGGAGAATTTTTAAAAAATGTTGAATATGCGGGCCAACCTATTAATATTGACGTGTTAAAAATCAAAATTCAACCGCCTTATAATAATTTGGTAAAAGAACAAATAAACGTGGCCACATTAAAGGAATTTTTAAAACGATTGGAATCATTCAAGCTCAGATTAATAGTTTGGGGGGAGGGCACAATCTCGGGGGGGCCACTGATTTTGGAAGCCTATTTTTATCTTTAATATAAATTAAATATATATTTTTAATGCATTTAAAAAAGTTTAAAAAAAAATTTTTTTAGTAGATACAGTAAATAATTAATAATTATAAAATAAAAATATTCTTAATTTTATAATATATAAAAATTACTAAATGGTAATAAAAATTAAATTGTTATTCTAATAATTAATAGCGTATAAATGGTAATAATTAATATTAGATATTCTTGATTTATTCACATGAGGTGCACCCATATGGCCATATATAATAAAAATAATTTTTATATATTGTCCTGACAAAATTATACAATAGTATACAGTTTTTAAAATATAGTGATACAATTTTTTTGAAGTTAAATTTGAAAGGGGGCCCATTAAGCTTATGGTGTCCTGGGGCCCAATCGATCCTTAATCCAGGCTTGGAATCATGTTCGGAACATTAAGGTGGACATTTTAAACAATCTATTAGATAAAACTATAACTATATTGCAAATAAATAAATCAATTTTAAACGTATAGTGTGTACATTTTTATAATTTTCATTATCTTTAATTAACTTTTTTAATTCAGAAGAATGAATGGCATACTTGAGAGTAAATTACCATAAAAAAGTAATTATTTATATCTTATGTGTCAACAAACAGATATTTAATAATATCTCCGATATTATTATGATTTTCAAAAAATACTAAATTGAATTTAGTTGAAATTTTGTCAAAAACAAATTATTCAAAAATTTAAACTTCAACATGCTATAAACTTTGCCAATTTTGTAGATGTCAAAAAACTTTTTGCATAAAAATTGTTTAAACAATAATAATCTAAGCAAATCTGTAGAAAAAAAAAATGGTATTGCATTTAAAAAAAAGAAGATAAATTGTACATGTGCATACTGGTAGAATAAAAAAATAGAAATTTATCCGAAACAGTGTATTTTGGTACTCCCTTTAATTCTTCGAAAACTTTATTTCAATACAAGGTCATCCAATTTAAATATTTTGTGGTACCTCTTAGCGTGAAAACACTGTATAACAACACAATGATAGAATTATAATAATAATAATAAATTTAAGATTTAAGCACATTACAATATGTACCTATTGGCAAACCTAAATATCACGATTAATTATAATCGAATATAATTAATTACAGTGACCTAAGACTATTGGTGTTTATTGTGAATACAATTGTTTTAGACATTTATACTTATTTTCTAAATTTTGAAAATTCACACTTTAAATAACACAATAATATCAATATATTACTATATTTGAATAAGTATGTACAATAATTATATCTAATATACGGAACATATTATGAACAACGGTGATTAAAAGATAAAATATTATTATAGCAATGTAATTGGTAAGTGATAATACTAATAATTAATATATAAATTAGAAACTAATAGACAATGATATGGAATATTATAGATTTATATTCTATATGATTCTATATTATCTCCATATTCACATTCAATCTAAATGTTAATAATTATTCAACGACAAATTCTGAACAAAGTGATGAATGTATTGGAGTTTATTTTTTTTTGTGGATAAGTTTGCAATAAGCTGTCTTTAAAAAAGCTTTGGTTTAAGTGAGACTATTAAATTTATATAAAGAATATTTTATATATTATATTAAATTACTTATGGGGAAATTAAAATTATAAAAAAAAAAAAAATTAATACATACTAAGTAATTATATAGTCTTCAAGTCTTGTAAGTTGTTGATATTGAACTTTAAAATAACTTTTATTATTGATACTTGCTGCAATATTAAAACAAAACATATAACATCCAATAAAAACTAGTTTATAAATTGATTAGTTATACAAACTACAAATAACGATTAGTAACAATGTCACAACAATTCAATTTAAAATAATGTTACAATGTAATATTATATTCTAGGGGTCACCAATAATATTTTTGAAGGGCCACGTAAGGAATCTGAAAATTTTTCGAGAATCATCAAAATTCTAAGTACCTACCTATTTTTAATATATAATAGGTACTATTTATAAAATTTTATCTAATGATAACATAATTTTTTTATTCATTATTTGCTATTGCTTATAAATATTAAGAACATAATTAATATTACAAATATTTAAAAAAATGAATTATGAATACAATAAAAAAAAATTGTTAAGTGATATTACAAATATTTGAAAAAAATATTCTTTGTTTACGGGCCGCAATTTGGTGACCCTTGTTAAATCCATCTACATACCTATAAGTCCGTTTCACAACAAATGTCCCTCGATACTAACGCGCCAGGTAGTGATTTTTTGTTATGGTTTCCTAAACTATCATCTAACCACGGCGGGAAATTTAAAATTACATACGTGTTTTTTTTTATTTTGTATTGTGAACCCCTGATCTCAGTAAAAATCGCCACATGGCGCGTTAGTATCGAGGGACATTTATTGTGAAACATACTATACCAATAAGTTATCAGGAGAGCAATGTAAAATAGGTAGAAAAAATGCCAAAATTGCAACAAAATACAAATTTGACTTTAACAAATACATGTCAATCATAATATTCAACGGTTATTGTGCTACACAAGTACGGTCACAAAACACACGAACTGTATGAAAACTGATTAATGATTAATGTCTCACAGTAGTAAGGACTAAAGTTGACCATGAGGACCTACACACTGTTCACTGCAATAATGAAACTGTTCAAGTTCAACGTTCAATATACTAATATTACAGAATTGTCAGAATTACACCAATATTTTTTCTGACCAAACGTACGAAATTATTGATAACAATGCATTGACAAACAATTTTCTAGAACAGCTGTGTGCTATTAATAAATTTATACCTAAGCGTTTTCAAGAAATATTCCCAACATCCATGATATTAGTATTTGACTTTAAATAGAATAAAAATGTGATGACTGTTTGAACTTGGGCAATGGGAGACGAGAATGTTAAATAGGAAGTAATTACTAATTACTAAATACACGTCTTATAAAATATAAAACTGTTTTGTCCATTATGTAGGATATATTAAATCGAAAATAAATAAATATTGTAAGTAGGTACCCCTATGTTAATTTTGCTGAAACATATTTAATATTGATTATTATCGTTCTTACTAGTTACACTATTTAAATATTAATTAAAATAATTTATAATATAATTTATAGTTTCTACTAAGTTTTCGTAAATCGTAATTGAATTATGTTTCTTTAGTAATAGTCAATATAATAAATTCATAACTACCAACTTTAATATTTGTTCTTCTAAGATCATAAAATATGAATTCATAATTCATAAAGAATTTACAGAATACGGTCGATTGA